CTTTCATTAAATTAAGACTCGTAATTTGTTTCTTGTAGGCTCAGCTTTTTATATGTTGGCATGAACCGTTTGTACAGCAAAGTAAGTTATGATTTCTAGGAACTCTGAGCGAAAAAAGAGCAGGGTAAAGGTGGAGTAGATGGGGATAGAAAGATTTAATTTATCTTAGCTATTCTGAGTTTGAAAAGCATAATTACTGTATTTGGTAACAGATTTAAAGTTGCTTGTCGCCTGTCTTTTTAAATGGAGATAGATGGGAACTGAATTTAAGCTTTTAGCTGGAGAAAATGGCTTAATTGTAGTAACTGTGATGTTGTTGAAGGCTGATGATGAAAAGAAAATGAGACTAATGGAAAAACTGCTGTTTATCATATTGTTAGTGTATAGCAGAATTTGCAGAAAGTATTTCCAAAATTAAAATTAGTAAGCAAGAAAGAAAGATGATGGGAAAATGTTCTGTTGATAGCAGTTGTTACTACCGCAAAACTTAAACAGTTTGCGCTTTGGTTGGGAACAAACCAAAAATTCTGATAACCGTTAACCGTCGGTTCTGTTGATTATTAAATTTTCAAAAATTCTACAGTGTCTCTTTTTAATGCATCATTATTCTGCTGTTTATATTTATAATGCCTTCTTTTTAAGAATTTTAAATTAACTACACTAATAAATTCTAAAAATTCGAAAGATTTTAAGGTAAATGAACAGAAAAAGAAGTAAGAAGACATTGAAGTGCTTGATTTGACTGAAAAGTTTGAAACTCTTTTCTATTTACTTGCAATATCTTTTTGGTCTCTGACTACCCATCTGTATACTTCCTTAGTATGGATTTTAATGCGGAACTACAATATCAGTAACTGTCAAAGATCTTTGTCGTATCATTATTTATAGTTGTTTGTTAGAGGTTTCATGAAGAAAAAGGTACATAAAGAAAGTTTCAAAAGCAAGTTACGTCGACTTTCGTCGGGTTTTTATTAATTGCTCAGTAAGATGCATTCCTGAAATTCTTTGCACATTTACCAGATAAAGTGTAGAGTAAAAAAAAGTGTCTGTTGCAAATGATGGCAACATTTTTTGTCTTAACAATGACCAGGATTATTTCATATAGCTGTATTTGAAGAATATCTTTTATTTGGTGGTGAACGATATGTATTTTTGTTATTAAAGTAAAAGTAGCCTCAAAATTCATGTCTAGAACATTTTGCCTCAATACTAAAATCAGTCGGAGCAAAATCCTGTTTGTTAAAATACTGATATGAACCAACAACGGTGAGATATGGAAAGTAATTCACTGTTGCCCAGTGTTAATTGTCCTTAAGGTGCTTACTTTCTGATACAAGTCTTAAACTGATGCTCTACAGATGAAGTATAAAAAGCCACGGAATCCAAAGAATTTCATTGCTTGATTAACGTGACGATCTGAGGTATACAGTTCGAGGTGTTCTATTATTATACGTTATAGTTGCTGGATTGCAGATGTTCATCAAATTTTTGCATCGTTTAATCAGCTGTTTGTCTGCACTTCTTGAGTATAATATAATACCCAAACTTCAGAGAAGCAGTCGCTTGATTCTTACTTCTCAATCTCTGATTACTTTCAAATTATTTTATTTTCTCATTATGTCTATTAATTTGTTATAAATTTTGCGCCTGGATGGAAGTCGGAGTAATACATGGAATAAAGTTGTCGCCAAGAATTTCGGAAATATTGCAAAAGGCTTATGACGACTTTAATTCGATAAACGTCGGCCAAAGTTCCCTTGTCTAATACCGCCTAT